TGCGACATTTGTACATTGAACAATGTCCCAAAGTTCTTGAAGGCGTTCTTCATCATTCCTTCTCTTCCTGTCCCTTCTCCTCCTACTTAGTCTTCCTCCTCATCTGATAGAGATCTTTCTGAGGACTTGTCTTGAGTTCAGATCTTCTTTCTCTATTTGGTCTAGTTTGTTGTTGAGACTTCTGTCTGTAGTTCTTAAATGACTTGTTGATCTCTGCGTCTCCAAGATTCCTGACTTATTCCTTTCCAAGGTCTCCATTTCTTTGCAGAATCTTTTTTTATGTCTTAGATTTTCTAATGTGTTTGTCTCTTACTAGTATATATTCATTTTTAGAAAATGCTGGGTTGAATTTGAAAGTTTCACACACATATATTGTGTATTTTCCTCATATTCTTTCCTCCCCAGTTTCCTCTATCCCACAGTACCCTCCTCTTCCCAAACAGTGTCGCTTCTACTTTCTTGTCATAGATCTATGTCTACATTCTCAACTTCTCACACAGGATCAAACATATAGTATTTGTTTTTCTGAGTCTGGCTTATGTCACTTAACATGAAGATCTTCAGTCCATCATTTTCCTACAAACAGCACAGTTTTGTTCTTTATCACTGAATAAAACTCTACTGTATGCATGTACCACATTCTCTTCTGCTGAATTTCTCACTAATATGATCTGTTGTTTTTCTGGTCTTGCTTTACTTACCTGTATTTTCTTGATTTTTATTCAGTTTCCTTATCATTTTTAACAAATTCCTTACCAGGCATTTCATTACTGTTGTTTTCTTTAGAATCTAGTGCTAGGGAATTATGTATTTTCTTGGATCCACCATGTTGCCATATTCTTTTTCTCTCTAAATTAATTTTTGTTCCTACATTGGTATGTGGTATTGACTTTAGTTCTAGGGCATGACAGTGTAGTCTCTCTTGCTTCTCTGCCTGTAATAAATGTTACAAGTACAACACATGGTATGGCAGAGTAAAAGAGACCCAACATCAAGCCAGGCATGGGGGCTCATGCCTTTAGTCCTGGCCCATAGAGGCAGAGGCAGGTGATCTCTGAGTTTGAGGCCAGCCTGGTCTACAGAACTAATTCCAGGACAGCCAGGCCTACACAGGGAAAGCCTGTATTGAGAAATCAAGAGAGAGTTCGTGAGGGACCAAGAGAGGAAGGGAGAGAGAGAGAGAGAGAGAGAGAGAGAGAGAGAGAGAGAGAACACGAGACCTGCTGGTCACGTGCGTGTGGGAATTTTTTGTGGCTCCAGCAGGTGTGGTATACACAGGATGGGTATGGATGTATACTGTGCAACCACTCCAACAATTGGAGTCATCATACTGCTAGGTGGGAAGGTAGCATGGAGCAGGGCGATGATAGCAGAGCAGTGGTTCTCAACCTTCCTAATGCTGCAACCCCTCATGTTGTGGTGACTCCAACCATAAAATTATTTTGTTGCCGCTCCATAACTGTAATTTTGCTACTGTTATGAAGCGTAATGTAAATATTTTTGGAGATAGAGGTTTGCCAAAGGAATCGCTATCCACAGGTTGAGCAATACTTATGGATTATGGGGGTGGGGCTGCATAAATGCTTTGGGCATTGTCTTCTGGCCCCAGAGGGAGAATAGAAAACATCAAATTCAGCACAGGGTTCATCCACTGGTGGAGACTGGGTGCTCAAGCACCTTCAGTTGTGGTACTGGCCTGAGTCCACATATGGCTGCACACTCCTTGTTTCCAGTGGGTAAGCACTGTGGACTCAGTTCTGGAAGGTGAACTCTCCGCCATTCTACCCCCTCCGGAGATGTGAGATGTCCGTCCCTACAGTGCTGGGTGTGGAGAAGTCTTAGATGCTAGGGTTACAGCGGCTGCGCTGGGTCACGTGGTCTGTGAGTCTACAGTCCTTCCCTCCAGTGGAATGACTATGGGCCTGGAGATAAAAGGGAACAGGGGCTCATATTCCCTCCAGCACTAGCAGACAGCAGCTCCCTCTTCATCTGGGACCAAGACATGAGAGCCTAAGCTAGGAGAGTTCAGGAGGAAAGGGTGAGAAGTCCTTTTTAAAAGCAAAGCTGCCAGGTAGGTTCCAGTTGGCGGCCCCAGACAGTGTGTAAACCTGTGATAGCTAAGAAACTTCCCAGGAGCCAAGGTTGCTAGCGGTGGCCATCATGGCGTTCGCAAGGACACTTCTGTTCAAGTGCAATTCCCCCCTCCCTGGCTGGAAAGCCTAGTGGCACGCGTTGGGGTGCTTTATAATTCTCTCTGCGCTGTCGTCCCAGGTCTTACAGAGTCTTTCAAGGGTTGACTGTTGGGGAGAGACCTTGCTGAGGTCCAGGGTTTGAGGTCACATGCCTTAAAGAGTGGCTGTTCAGCTCTTGCTTTGGCTCTTCTTGGTGGAAGAGGAGGTGAGTGCCGGGCACATCTGTGTGCCCATCTTGTTGGCTGAGACTGTCTTCTTGACTTTGGAAGTGGGTCAACTTTTCTCTGAAAAAGGTGATTGTAAACTCTAGGTGAGACTGTCTTTGAGTATGGGGACCCGGGAGGGACAGGGCTCTGAGGGTGAGGGACTTCGAGTTTCCAGAAACCTGTCCTCTCCTTCTCTGCTCTTTTGGGACCCTTCTAACAGATATAGAGAGTGCTTATGGTATCTAGAGAGCTCTGCAGAGACCGTATTCACCTTTGTATAAACCCAATGTTTTGGTAATAAAAAACAAAAACCCAAACAAATAAAAACAGGAAAACACCTAGACTGTTGCTTTTTGCCCTAACTCTAACCAACCATTGCCTTTACCTAAATTCCTAGGCAAGATCCAATACTTAACTATAGAATGAAGGCTCTATTAAACCAGTGTGATTAGTTTAAATAAGTGCCTACTTGTTCTGCATCTATTTCAGGTAGACTCCTTAGCCAGAGAGCCTGAGATAGGAGGAACCCGAGTGATTTCTCCCACGGGAGAATGTCAAGAAGTGAGGGCAGGGCTCACAAGGCAAAGATGTGCTGCCAGCTGCTACAGTCCCAGCTTGACCCGACAGCGGGCTCTAGATCATGAGTGTTAGCCCTGAGTTCTGTTCTAGTCAGTCATTGGCTAGCCTTCCAGGTTAGCTGCTGCAGTTTCCTAGAGTTTTTGTACAAGGATGGGTATGAAATTCAATGGATGGATGGGTCTGTGTAGCCTCTCAAAAGGGGAACCAACAGAATTTGTTATATCCCCCATGTGCTAGGAACTGGGCCAGGTACCAGAGAGACAAAGATATAAAAGGTAGTCTCCACCTTAGGAAACTCATGGAATAGTACAGGGGATAAATGCAAAAATTGCAGTTTCAGTGGGTCACAGTTAAAGATTGGGTAAGAGAAGCTCAGAGTGCCTTAGAACCAAAGAGGAGAGGAAGGGAGGGATCCCAGGTTAGGTTACCCCCAAAGCAGACTCTGGCTGGAGATAAACATGCATGAACTTGATTACAAAGTGTTTTTGGATCGACCTCTGCATAAAGGAAAGGAAAGAGAAGGAAGCTGATTGGGAGGAAAGGGTTTTAGGCTGTGATGACATCTCAGTGGCAGTTTCCACTAGACTCGAAGGTTCTGAAGGTGCTGGGGACTGTTTTCCAATACCATTCATATCAACCTTTATCCAAGTGTCTGTCTCAGAGTCTACCATGGGCTATTCCACACATCACTTGGATTAACTCTGTCATGTAAAGCCAGGGAACGATATCGGAGTGGTCCATTTCCTTTACCTACTGATTCACTGTAGATGCTTACTCCAACTAACACCCCTTCTTGCTTCAGTGGCCACCTGATGTCACAACTTACGCCAGCATGCCCCGGTGACCACCGTCATTTATTTATTGCCAAGAGGTGTACAAGGTAATCACATGGACACCCTCTTTGCATCTGCATTATCTATCCCATATCTAGCCACCCATGACCAGGAAGGTTGAGTCATGGCTTGCCCTTTGCTTATGGATCTGGCTGTTGGCGGCAACGAGGTCTGTCTTCAGAGGTCCCGTGGTATCTTGTGGTGAGAGGTTTCTGCAGACTCCAAGGTGCTGGCCTTGATAAGAGAATCACCCACATCTGCTGACGCAGAGGGCTCTCGTGGGTCTGGGAGTCAAGATGCTTGATGGAATCGATGCAGGGTTCCAGTTTCGCACAGCGGTGTTCCACTTTTATCTAACCAGAGCCTTTGCCTTGTCAGAGCGAGCTTGTTGAGACTGTCTGAACTTGGCTACTCTGGTGATTGGTTCGTGGTGTGAGTCTCAGCTTCCTCTGTCCTCCTGCTGTGGGAAATGAGGACAAAGGTCGCAATTAACACTGACCTTTCTGGGCTTGTCCCTCTGTAAAACTTCAAGCTTGCCAGTCAGTACCCAGTTCCGTTGTCCTCATAGTTAGTTATATTGGCCCTCTGCTTTTTCTGGCTTAGAGTCTTACAGCGGGACTAGTGTATGTTCTGTTATTGCTGTTCCATCCCAGTTCATAACCAACAGAACTTTAACATCATTGCCAGGGGTTCCTGGGCCCCACCTGTGAGCAGTGACACTCATCCCAATTGTCATTTCAGTTGAGGGTGGTTCAGCACCCAGTCCCTTCCAAAGTCGACCTTTTCAGGCTACTTCTAGTACCAGGTAGGTTCCATGGGAAGGTAAATCGGAGATGGAACTTAACGCGCAGGAGTGTTGTTAGGGGGAGCTTGGAATCCAGCCCTGCCGAAGGCAAGGGAGCAGACTTGTGGAGATAAAAAATTAGAGTTGCTCTTCAGCACTAGTGAAAACCGTGGCTGCCCCTTTGATGTGTTCTAATGAAGAGGGACCCCACGGAACTGTCCTGAGTTAGGGAAGAGAATGCTGTGTTTTGAGACATTTGTGATAGGTCTGTGAGCCACCCTAGAAAGCAGGCGTGGTCTTTGGCGAGGCAGCTTTCTTGAGCAGGGTCAGGCTATGAAGAGGAAGAGAATGTGAAGCATCATCATTGTATAGCAAGTTTACTGACCTGTGTTTTTCTTCCCCAAAGCATCCTTTTATGGCGAAAGCTACGTGGGGCTCAGTATCACAGAAGTTTCCTCCAGGCTGTCTCTTCAATTGAGATTTCAAACCAGCAAGCCACAAGGCTTACTTTTTCTTGCAGCTGGGAAAATTGACTATTGCCTAATAGAACTTCTGTCAGGAATATTACAGGTATTATTATTATTTTAAATCTTTAAACTATATAAGCATTCAGTTACTAGAGAACACAAAGCAACAGAAAAAGAGAAGAAACCATTTCTCACTAGAATAAAGTGGTATACCATTTATTTAGGGTGGATTGTCTCCAGTTTTTCCAGCATGTCTTAAATATTCTGACCTTATTATTTTTCACTTCAACATGTAATCCATAACTATAGGAGGTTTTCATGGCTAAATTCATTCTTTCTCTCTTTCCTTCCTCCACTCCCTCCCCTCCTCCCCTCCCTCTCTTTCTCTATCCTTTCTCATGCATTAACAAAATGCCTGAGGCTGAGAAATTTATAAAGGACACAGACAATAGGTTCATTTCTGGGTGTGTGTGAGAGGATGATGGTAGAGCCTGCTTGGCTTCTGGTGAAGGCATCATGGTGGAGGGGAAGAAGCAAGAGGAAAGCCTGCTTTCTACCACCCCACTCCCTCTTACGTCACCAATTCACTTCTTTAAGAGAACTCACTCCCCCCAAAAGCATAGCCTTGACTCCTATTAACAACCTCTTTGAGGTCTCAGCACCTCTCAGCACTGCTGGGTTCAGGATTCAGGCCTCACCATGAGTTTTAGTGGAGTCAATCCATAGCAACTCCATCCCCCGAGTAAAACACTACGAGATGAACATCTTGATGAGGTTCACTGATTATGGCTCTTGTCTCTTTTAGGTGAAAATAAATTTGGGTGTGGGTGAACAGATCCTCCTTTCTGAACAAAGACTTCGTGTGGACAATTTGGTTTGGCATTCTGTGGAACTGGACTATGGCAAGGATAATGTTTTCTTGGTTATTGACAAGCATTATGAGACAACTGGCCAGCTTCGTCGGGGGATGCACAACTTCACATTTCACCATGGAATCTATGTAGGAGGTCATGGGGGCCTCAGTGTCCCTTACCTGGACAGCAAGACCCCCAACTTCAGAGGATGCATAGAGGGCGTGGTGTTTAACCAGAGGGAGATCCTCACATCGCTTCGGTCTTACCCTGGTTTTAAGAAGGTTTATGAGGTGTCCCTGGGATGTAGCGAGGAGTTTTTTGCTGGGAAGAATGAAGCTATTAGCTTTTTCAGCTCTAGGTCCTATGTCGCCTTTCCAGAATGGAGGGTACAGGGGGAAGGGATACTGAGATTTGCTGTGCAAACTGAAACCCAACAAGCCATGCTTTTATTTCAGTCAGGTAGAGGAAGAGATTTTGTTGCTTTGGAAATACACGAGGGTCGACTGAAGGCTCATGTTGGAAGGGGAGAAACAGAAACTCAGCTTTCATCCTTCACCTTGGTCAGTGACAACAAGTGGCATGTTGTTCAGCTCCGAGTCACGAGGAGGCATCTGGACCTCACGGTAGATGAACACGGGGTGAGAGCCATGCTGCCTCCACAAAGCCAAGCATTTGTATCTGAAGGCCCCCTGTTTGTGGGAGGTCTGGATCACCGGATGTGGGAAACAGGGCGGGGGCTAGGCCTTGTGTCTGTGCCTGGGAAATCTGCTCGAGGCATCTCTCTGAAAGGATGCCTGAGAGCCTTGGAAGCAAACTTGGAAAAGAGGGCATTAAGGGATGCACTTGTTTCCAAAGACATTTCTGCTGGGTGCACAAGTGAGAGCGTCCATGGTACAAATCCTTCGGTGACTGCAGAAGGCCTGTTTCAGCCGGAGCCATCCCCCTCCACTGTGGTTCCCAGTACCGGTTCTCCTCTGGAAAATCAAAGTGGCAGTTTTCTGGTTTTGAATAAGTTGGAAGTCCAAGAAGGTGGACGGGCCTTACTGAGACAAAAGCATATCAACGTGAATGTGGACTTTATGGATCTGGGTATCAACGATTCTCAGATACTGTTTCAAATACAGGAAATGCCAGCTCACGGTTTCCTTCAAATAGATGTTTGGTCTGCACAAGAAAAGGAGAGGACTTTTACTCTGTTAGACTTGAGGCATGGGAAAGTGTGGTATGTCCACGATGGTTCGGAGGAGCCTACAGATGCTTTTACATTTTGGGTTTTTTCTAGTAGCAAGAAGGCAATGCCATCCCAGCTGCAGGATCCCATTCCACATGTTTTTAACATTATTGTCATTCCAGTGAATGACCCCCCATACCTTAAGCTCCCAGAAGGACACTTGCTTCTCTTCGAGAACTCAAAGAAACAACTGACCCCCAATGTGGTACAGGTGTCAGATCCCGACACAGAGTCTCAGCATCTCAGACTTTCAGTTCTTAGCAACTTCAATGCAGACGCTGGGTTTTTAGAACATGCCCATGACCCTGGGAGACCCATCAATGGTTTTACACATGTGGATTTACAAGAAGGCAACATTTTCTACGTGCACAGGGGTCACCGGAACTCTCGGATTGTTCTGAGAGCAACTGATGGTGAGCTGGTTAGCAATACCGTGGTGTTGCGTGTCACGGCTGTTCCTTGGGACTTTGAAGTGGCAGATAGGAATGGCGTGGTGGTGCCACAGGGTGGTACAGTTCTGATCACCAAGAGTGACTTGTCAGTGAAGGTAAATGGTGAACAACATGAGTTGGACACTCGCTATGATATCACCCGTCCACCTCAGTTTGGCCAAATTCAGCATCGGGGATCCAATGGGGAATGGAAAAGGGTCAGTAGCTTTTTTCAACGCTCCGTTGACCAGGGTCGGATTCGATACTATAGTTCATTCAAAGAACAGCAGCAAGAAAATGTTACAGATCACTTTAAATTTAAAGTTAGCATCGAAGGAAGAGCAAGCAAAGAGCTCCTGTTTCCGGTGACTGTTCAGTGGCTGAAACTGACACTTCTGAAGAATATTCCTCTAGAGATTAGCGGTGCAAGCAAGAAAATATTGGATTCTGATCATCTGCAGGCTGCAACAGAGGGTGTGGAAGTAGCTGAGAGGGAACTCTATTTCAAGTTACTGATCCCACCTAAGAAAGGAAACTTGCTACTCAGTAATGAAGTTCTTAAAACAAGTTCAGTTTTCAGTCAAAAAAATATTACAGACTCTAAGGTAAGCTATGAACCTCAGGGGAGGCCCAGGGAACACTCACAGGATACTTTTAGTTTTTCAATTGTTGTTGAACACATTGAATCAAAAGACTATACTTTCAGGATAAACCTTAAGGCAGAAAAGACACATGTTATTTTAATCAACACCGGATTATTTGTAAAAGAAGGGGAATGGACATTAATTTCAAAATCAGAATTGTTTGTTCAAACATCGGACAATCATGTCTTCCAATATGAAGTCACCAAGCGTCCTCAGCATGGGGAACTGAAACTGCTCAGCTCTTCCACTTCTCGGGGAAGTGACAATAGCATCACTGGATTCACAGAGGGAGACATAGAGGGTGGAAGGCTGATATATGTTCACGATGACTCTGAGACCCAGCACGATGAATTCATCGTTTTGGTCTCTGCCACAGAGCTGGGCCAACAGGGAGGAGTCAGAAGTCTTGACTCCGAGCACATGCCTGCAGAGATCAAAGTCAGCATTTCTGTTGAGCTGAAGAATGATGAGAAGCCAGTGCGAGTGGTGGACAAGGTCTTTCATGTTGTGCGGGATAGCCAGCGCTTACTGACGCTAGCAGACCTCTGCTTCCATGACCCGGACTTAGATTTTGATGATGGGCAGTTGCTCTACACTCGGCGTGGCATACCAAATGGAGATTTGGTGAAAGCCAGTGACCCGACTCAGAAGCTTTACCAGTTCCGACAAGAGGACCTCCAGGAAGGGCGTGTGCTCTTCAGGCACCACGGTCCAGACTCTGCCCGATTCCTGCTGTTTGTGACAGATGGTGTCCATTACACGTCATCCCTCCTGGAGGTCAGTGTGTCAGAGGCCTATGTCCACATAGTCAACAACACAGGGTTGCTCGTGCACAGAGGGCGGGACAGCTGCCTCACCACAGCCAACCTGAGCGTCACCACAAACCAAGATGTCCGAACAGACCACGAATATGAATTCCGTATCCTGCAACCCCCCAGACATGGCAGGATTCTGGTCAACAATTCTGTGTTCCACTCATTTTCCCAGCATGACCTGAAGCAGGGACACGTGATTTACAGGCACAATGGCGATGGGAACTTTGATGTGTTGAACTTGACAGTGAAAGTTAAAGACGCCTACTTAGACGTGAGCATTTGTGTTCAAGTGTCCTTGGAGAGTCACCAACGTGACACTCAGATTCTGCACACGAAGACCCTTATAGTTGAAGAAGGAAAACAAGTAAAACTGAGCAGAGGAGGGCTCCAGGTAGGTGTCATCTAAAGCACTGGGCATTCTTATTGGCTTAGACTAGTAGGGGCTAATAATCTATGTGTTTGCTTCTGAGAATACCTTCTCTGTCCCTCTGTCTCTTTCTCTGTGTGTTCCATGGCACTGAGAGTAGCTCTAAGGTATGTGAGTGCACACACTTATGTACATATGTATATGCCACTGAGATGAAAAGTTAGGAGGTTTGGAATTTGATTCTACCCATTTTCCTACACTTGGAAATAAAATCTGCCCAATGTTAAGGCTGTGTTTATATACACATTCATGTGTGTGCCCATGCTTAGTGTAGTATGAAGTAGGACTAAGGGAGGGAAGTATATATTGTGATAAATTAAATGCTTTTTATTTTTATTTGTTGCTAACAGCAGCTCTAGCAACATTACATTCGATATGGGTTAATTTTTGATGGGAGGAAGTAGTAATTTAACAGACATAAAAAGGATTCCCCAAACAGCTTAAGGCATCATTGCACAGTCTCTTTATTTCTGGATGTGGCCTTGTTTAGTTTCCTGAAAACGATGGGTAAAACTGATCTAGACCAGTGGAGCAGTACCAGTGTGAGAACAGAGCCGCGACTTTCCCTCAGACTCCTACCTTGAAATTTCTAGTAGGCAGTCCTGGGATCAGCGTGACTGGGCTGTTGTTTTTAGGGGAGTCTCCTATAGAGTATAGGATGGGCAAGCTGTATTTTTAACAGTTGGCCAGATACACAGGCAGTTCTGACCCTGTGTTCAGGACTACAGGCAGCTTTCCAAGTGTGACCAGCAATATCAGAGATGAGTTTGAGCTAGAATCAGTTTGGTAAATACTGAGTCTTGACTAAGGGAATAGAAAGCACCAGCTTTTCACATTTTTTTTTCAAGCTTAGGGAGTTAATACGTTTCACCACGAGGGGGCATGGTCCCTCTTGTGAGTGTAAATCAGTTGCAGATACAGTCTCTAAATGGCCTTTGCTGAATCAATGAAATGACAATGCATAGGAACTGCTGAGCTAGTGAAAGCAGAACACTAAACAGGGAAAAAGCGCTTTCCTCGACAGTTGTGAAATTTTAGTGACGCAACTATTCTTCCTCAAACCATCTTTGATTCCTTCTCTTTATAATTCCTCTACCATGGTGCTAGGGATGCGAGGCAAGCCTCCAGCCCTCCCCTAATAACACTGAATTCTTTTGCCTTAATTTTTAGAATATTCAGAGTTTTTACTGCTGTATGGGAATACTTCATAGTTACTCAAGGGCTGTTGACTTTGTGTATGTGTGTGTGTGTGTGTGTGTGTGTGTGTGTGAGAGAGAGAGAGAGAGAGAGAGAGAGAGAGAGAGAAAGAAAGAGAGAGAGACAGAGACAGAGACAGAGAGACAGAGAGACAGAGAGAGACAGATGGACGGATGGATGGATGGGCGGACGGACAGACAGTCTAGGGCTGATATTCCAAATACTGGCATGGGCCCTAGGTCAGACCTGGCTCTGAGCTGTGTAACAACCCTGATTGTAACTTAGGCTACTTGTCAATATTAAGTGAAATCATTTGGTTCATCAACAGCTTTGACTCTTACAGTTCTTTGTGTGTTTTTCTTCTGGTGTTGTGTTTGTGAACGCAAGGCTGGGAATGAGGACGATATACCTCTGGAGGCAGTGTTCATAGTCAGAACTCCACCAGTGCATGGATACCTCGAAAAATCTCCAGCAGAGGACGGCAGCGTGGGTACAGATGGGAAGTTTCCTCTGAGCTTCACCCAGCAGGATATTGACGATGGCGATGTCCTTTATGTACAGACAGCTCCCGGCCAACGAAAGGATCAGTTCACCCTCGATGTGACAAAGGGCTCCCACTTTGTAAGGAGAGTGGAAGTGCATTTGGATATCATCCCTGAGTGGATACCTCTGGAGGTACAGAATTTCACAGTTCGAGAAGGGGGCTCCAAAGCACTTCTACAAGACCACCTCAGAATTCCAAGCAAGTATTTTGAGAGTCTTGACTGTGAATTTATTCTCCTGGAACCACCAAACCACGGTTATATTGAAAGTTCCAGTTTTCCAAGAGTAAAGCTAATGAAATTTTCCAGGAAACAGGTAATAAATCTCAGCTAATATATTTGAGTGTGTTGTGCCAGAGGCGGGTTGGAACTGGCTCTTTGTCATTTAGACTCACAGGCTTTAGGGTGATGGGACCTTGGAGTCCAGCTTCCCACAAGATGCTAGAAGCCGGTCTCTAGTGTCCCACGGTGTTAACATTGCCTAAACATTTTCAGTGATGCTGATGCTGTATTTACTACTTTCTGAGATGGGCCTCTGTAGTTTAAAAACATTTCAACATTTCTTTTCACTGACGTGAATTTGGAAACTTCTCTTAGATCCTGGCTCTGCCGAAACTGCAACGTGAGAGGCATTATTCCCCTCGTAAACTCTCTAACTATGTGACAGAAAGATTATCAGATGCCCTTGGATATTTTCTTTTTCATTTTTGCTTTCTCCTAGTCTCCTGACTTTTGACTGTACACCGTGAATTGACTGTGCCATCCTTACTAATGTCTACCTCTGCAAGAGCACTCTGTCCCTCTCCTTGATACCAGCAACACTCAGCTATTTCATCTTTGGTGAACGTTTTTCATTCACCTACCCCTTCATCCAGTCACCAGGTGTTTTACAAAGACTGTGCTGTCTGCTAAACATGGGGCCACAGGGGTCCAGAGTGACTCACTCAGTCCTGGCAATCAACTCATCTGGCATCCAGATATAAAAGCAGATAAAATAACCAAAGTCAACTCAAGGTTGCTATCTCATTTCTTTGCTTTGGTATTATTGTTAGACTTTGCTTTCTTACGGGAATAAATTAATGATTTCTACCATTTTTTTTTTCATTTTGAAAATTAGCCTGCAGATCCCCCTTATAAAGCTCTAGCAACACAGACTCTTTCGGTTGGAAACCACAAACAACTTCCCACCATATTTGCCTGCCTTCGCCTCTCCAGCTAAAAACATATGTGTGTTGCTTCATTTTGCCTTTAAGAGTTCCAAGTTGGCGGCTGGAGAGTTGACTCAACAGTTAAAAGCATTGATTGCTCTTGCAGAGGGCCCAGATTCAGTTCCCAGCACTCACATGGTGGCTCACAACCATCTGTAAATCTAGTTATAAGGGATCTGACATGGCTACCAGGCATGCAAGTGGTGCCCAGACATACATACAGGCAAAACACCCAAACATAAAAGTAAATAAAAATTTGAAAATACAAATTACGGGATTCTTAATGGATTCAAATCCACTTCCTAAAGGCTTGCTCTGTTTTAGTTATGATGTGTTACCATGGTAACCAAAACATACTCCTTGCTTCAGGAAATGCAATGGAGGAGCCAGATGCTTCATCTTTAATTGGGATGCTCTCTTCTTGTCTCTCATGTTGTATTTTCACAGTAGTGTTGTAGGAGTACAGAACTGGCCTGTACCATTCTAACTGGAGAGCAGAGAGAAGATCGTAAGTCACTCTTTGCAAAGGGACAATGTTCAATCTAGACTTTGAGGAGCTAGATAAAGAGCACAGAAGTAACAGATTAGGAACCAGAGAAGGGCCGTGCAGGGTAAAAGAGCAGCATAGCCCCAAGTGTGGAGGCCTGAGAGACGAGACGCCATCTGGGTAGCTGAGGAGTACTCCACAGGCCGAGGAGGGGCAGAGGTTGCTTGGGGCTACATTTGGAGGGTCCCTTCCTCTGTCCGTAGGAGGTGTAGTCTACATCAACTGTCAAGGAGGCTAGACTTACCCAAGTATCATTAGGAAGCCATGAAGAAACAGGATGCAGAGGGTAGGAGTGCAGTTTCTCCCTCTGACCCAGAGAAGATGACTATTCATTCATATCTCTCTCTCGTGGCTTCCATCTCAAAGGCCAGAAAACCCACCTATAGCAACCATCTGCTCTGGTGTAAGTTGAATCAAGTACCCTTAATCTCATATACTCTGGGTCCTGTCTGAGTCAAGTCAGTGACTGCCATGGTCATAAGAGGAATGTTTGTTGAAATCTGTGTATAGAGACGTACTTGTTACCTGGAGCATCTGTGTTATCACTCAGCCTGTTCTCAGACATATGATAAGGTCATGTGTCCCTGTTGGGCAGGTGATTCCTTACACTGTCTCTTTATATGTAACCCCTGTATTCTCTAGGTTTTGAGAATATCTTAAAGTACTTAAAATACTTAAAGTAACACTAATTCTATGTGTCTGTGGCCTTCAGTGTCTTGGTGGAGAGACCCTGGCTTCATTTGTTCAATAAGAAGTTTGTGAATGTCTTGTGTCAGGGCTTCTAGAGTTAGGTGTAGTCTGATGAGTTTTTCCCACCTGCCTATTCCCAAATAACCAGTCAGAGGCTTAATATTAATTATTAACTGTTTGGCCTATGGCTCAGACTTCTTGCTAGCTAGCTCTATCATCTTAAATTAATCCATTTCTATTTTTTTGTAATTTATTTACTTTTTTATTTTATGTGCATTGGTGTTTTGCCTGCAGGTCAGATCTTTGAGTTACAGACAGTTGTTAGCTGCCATGTGGGTGCTGGGATTTGAACCCGGGTCCTTTAGGGAGAGCAATCAGTGCCCTTAACCACTGAGCCATCTTTCTAGCCCCAAACCCATTTCTACTAATCTATATTTTGCCATGTGGCCGTGGCATTACCAGTCTGCTGGCATCTTGTTCCTTGGGCAGCTGGATGCGTCTCCCTGACTCTGTCTTTTGTCTCCCTGTGTCTTTGTTTAGATTTCCTACCTGGCTCTAACCTGTCTTGCCATAGGCCAGAGCAGCTTTGTTATTAACCAATGGTAGCCACACATATTCACAGCGTACAGAAAGCCCATCCCACAGCACTTAGGTGATGAGGACACAGTGGTGAATTAATCAGGCAGTAACCCTGTCCTTTTGAGTTCCCTGGGTGAGGGAACAAGGGAGGCAGAGAGGCAAGAAACATGTGAAATACACAGCAGGTTTAATGTATGTACTGTAAGAAAAATATAAACCAGAAAAGGGAGCTAGGAAGGGCTGGGCCCTTAATCTGATCAGCAGATATTTTTTCTGGCTTTCAAAAGATAGGAATAGACAGCTTTCAGCCAAATATTATTAAATGGTATGCAATTTGGGGACAAATTCCCCATTAAAGGGTGTGTCATTTGGGGGAAGTGATGTATTTCTCCAGGAAAAGTGTCCCGGAAGTGAGCACGATCAATGTCCCTAATGTGCTTTCACTTCTGAATTCTCTCAGCTTCTGATCAGTCCTTCTCATTGTTTGTGCTGGAGTAGCTTAACACTGTGTTGTCTTGGAACCTGAGGTTAGGCCTGTTGTCTAGAATCTCTACCCACGGAACTCCAGAAATTCTCATTGCACCTGTGTATGGGTGGCCATGATTTTCCCTTGAGGGAACTGAACTTTTCACCCCTTGTCAGAAACACCCCTGTAAGATCAAAAGACTTTGCTCAAAGGAAGTGCGCCACAGGAGTGGGCAAAGTTGAACTGCTAAAATTTTTGGCTAAATTTTGTCAAAACAAACACAGCCCCAGAGACTTGTTCGGAATTCCAACAACTCCTTTGGGGCGTTGGAAGTTCTTGCCATTGTGTTTCGGTCACAGACTCACTGAAGCTAAATTCGGTCTGGCTTGAACATGCATGCTCTTGATCTCTGATGCTGACCTGTAATCGTCAGTGTTTCCAGTGGTCAAGTCTGAAAGAGGGGAAAGGAATTCCATCAGACTTTTGGTTTCTACATATCAAAGAGGAATAACGAAACCATCCAGTGACCATTGCAGAACCGAAATCAAAAAGATGGAATCTAACAGGGATAAAAGTAAATAATACAATTGCTATATCACTGTGAAAGAGATCTTCTGTGGTAGAATACTCTGATCGTAATGTACTCTGCGATAGTCTGTCTACAGGAGATGTATGTTAACTTAAGAGGTACATGATTTATTAGGAAAGTGAGGGCTCATGATCAGGAGGTGCAGGTTGTCCTAGTTACATATCTGTTGCTATGACAAAGTACCCCAACAAAAAGTGATTTAGAGAGAAAGGAGTTTGTTTCTGCTCACAACTGCAGGTCATAGTCCATCACAACAGAGGAGTCACAGTGACAGGAACTTGCATCACATCCGTAATCAAGAGCAGAGGGAAATAAACACATGCATGCTGCTTGCTCACTTCACATGTTTAGCTCTATTTCTGGACTCTTAAATAGTTCAGGACCCCCTGCCTAGGGAATGGCACTACCCACTGTAGGCTGACTCTTCCTACATCAGTGAACTTAATTGAGACAAGCCCCCAGGGCCATACCCACAGGCCAACACAATGGAGACAATCCTCATTGAGATGCTCTTTCCAGGTGAATCTAGATTGTCTCAAGTTGACGATTAAAACTCACCATCACACATAACCTCAAACATGGAAAACAATTAAGGAAACACTGCCTTCTTAGCTCAGAAAATATGTTTAGGGGAACTTAATAGTTTCCCTGATCTATGTGTTCCCAAGGAAGAGAAATGAAATCCTACGGGAGCCTAAATCTAATCGTTTGAATTGTCAAATAAAAGAATCAAAACCTTCACAATGTGGTCACTTTAAAGAAGCAAGTAGAACTTGAACTTTATTGTGCGGTCCTGATGGTAGGAAGGCGGGGTTATGCACACCAGCCCACGTTACTGTTAGAAGTGGCATTTAAACTCAGGTCTTCTGCTGCCAATCCAGTACTCTCATTACCACACCACATTGCATTTCTCTGCCTTTCCTTAAACCTATCCTTAGGGTGGAGTGGTAATGTCACTTATTTTCAGGATGCAGTGTGATGCCATCCATCCACTCTGATGCTCACTCGGACTTCGTGGGATGGAGACATGCTTCTGTGCTTTAGGGAGATTCTTAAGCCTGGGCCTCTTTTGCAGCAGTTTGGTCATGGCTTGGGATTGAGTGCTTTTCTGGGTTTGGTTTCAGGTGGAGCAGGGCTTGATTTACTACGTTCATAACGGCAGTGAGGAGTCTCTGGACAGCCTTACCGTCTTGGCCAACAGCTCAGAGCTTGGGAAGCAGAGTCTGCCTCGGACTCTTTTTGTGACTGTTGAGTCTGTAAATGACCAGATTCCAGTAATAACAGCCAATAAAATTCTCCAGGTAAGTGCCGTGCGCTTTTGATTTAACGTAAGAACGTTAGGGCCGCCAAAATGGTTCGGATTTATATCATTGCTATTGTAAAATAGCAAGGCATGTATATGACCATGCTTGTATGTTAACATGTCTCCGCTGTTTCAAAGAATTATTAGCTATTACTTGCAATAACTTGTTGGATACTGTTGGAGATAATAATTTCTGTGGGTTTTTTTTACATTTATTTATTTGCTCTCTCTCTCTCTGTATGTGTATAGTGTGTGTGTGTGTGTGTGTGTGTGTGTGTGTGTGTGTGTGTGTGTGTGTTTACACACATACACATAGTATGGCACATTTGTGGAGGTCAGAGAACAACTTGTGAGGGCTGGTTCTCTCCTTCTACCATATGGGTTTCAGGGATCTAGCTCACGTCGTCAGGCTTGGTGGCAAGTGCCTTTACCTGCTGAGCCATCTTGCTGGCCGCGATTTCTGCGTTTCTTGATCAGGTTCCACCCACGGTGTCCTTGATGAGACAGGGTCTTTTTGTAGTGGGTTAGGGAGGTGTCTGCACATGGACAGTTCCCCCTAGATGGGTAGCATGATGATTAGGAGAGTAAGTTTTGCAGTAGGAGGATCTGGGTAAGAGTCATGACTCCAGTGTTGGCTGTGTGGAGGTGGGAAAGTTAATATTGTCCTGGTGAGCAGCACTTAATATCAGGAAATTGCAGATTGTGCTCTGTGGCTGTGATCAGGCTTGATGTCTGCTTATGTACAATGCACATGTAAGAATGGTTCTTGAAGTAGATGGCAGCTATAAGAGACCTCCAAGTCGTCAATGTGCAGACAACAAAAGACTGGAGTGTTCATCCCCAAATCAGACATTCATGTCATGTCCTGTCTTAGTTAGGGCTTCTATTGCTGTGGAGAGACACCAACTCTTATAAAGGAAAACACTTAATTGGGGCTGGCTTACGGGTTCAGAGCTTCAGTCCATTATCTTCACGGAGGGAAGCATGGCAGCATGCAGGCAGACATAGTGCTGGATAAGGAGCTAAGAGTTCTACATCTAGGTTGAGAGACAGCAGGAAGAGAGAATAAGACACTGGGACTGGCTTGAGCTTCTGAAACCCCATAGCCTACCCTCAGTGACATACCTCCTCCAACAAGGCCACCTCTACTTCAACAAGGCCACACCTGTAAATAATGCCACTCCCTGTGAGCCTATGGGGATCATTTTCATTCAAACCACATATACCCCTTCCCTCAAGGCCTAGGAATCTTTTTGGAAGAGGGGGACAGAAAGATTGGTAACATGAAGGAAACAGTGTTTTCCAGACATGACAGATACACAAATGGACTCAGTGATTGTGACTGCTTTTGCAGAAGACTTTTGAAAGCTCTGGCCAAACAAAATCCCAACATACATGGGGGAAGATAGACTTGTAATCCCATGGTTAGCTGAAGAACTGTTGACATTTGATAGCTACTGGGAGAAGGAGAGTCAGTTTTCTTTAATGATGTGCCCCCTCATGGACGGACCAAACACTAGGGCAGGCCCCAATCCCTAGACTACCTGGGCAATACAAACTGTCCTCAATGGAGAAAGGAAAAGGAGGAGGAGGAGAGGAGGGGGGAGGAGGAAGAAGAAGAAGGAAGAGGAAGGAGAAGGAGAAGGAGAAGGAGAAGGAGAAGGAGAAGGAGAAGGAGAAGGAGAAGGAGAAGGAGAAGGAGAAGGAGAAGAAGAAGAAGAAGAAGAAGAAGAAGAAGAAGAAGAAGAAGAAGAAGAAGAAGAAGAAGAAGAAGAAGAAGAAGGATTCTCAAAGTTGGATGGGAAGGGATGGAAGGGTGTGGTAAGGGGAAGAAGTGGGAGGTGGTAAATATCCTCAAAATACATTGCATGATATTCTCAAAGAGTTAATAAAACAGTACAGAAGTTAAAAAGGGTGTTCTTTAGACATGGACCTCTGTAATTGGTCTAAGCAGGGAACGCTAGCTTTGAATACCATGGAGGCCAGATTTTACCCCTTCAAAAACAAACCTACTCTTCTCATTCACAGGCCTGTGGATGGGCTGTTCCCGTTGCTATCATGAAATAATTGGGGTGATTTGGAGGAAAAATAGGTTAGTGTAGCTCACAGTTTTGGATCCTGGAGACCCTAAGAGCTAATGCCAGTGAAGGCCTCGCGTCAAAGGCACCGAGATGGCAGGCGCTCCTGGAAGAAGACGTCCCATGACAAAGCGGAGACCTAAGAACAGGGAGGGGTTTTGGTTCTTTTATAACCACATACTCTCTTGAGAACTAACTCGGGGTCCCATGAGAGCCGTTTTAACCCCTTCCAAGACAGAATGTTTAACCAAATACAGTTAGTTTCCACTGTTGAAATACTTTTTCTTCCTGTCCCTTCACACTGCCTTTCATTCTTTCCCATGGGAACCTTGGAGTGCTTCACTGGTCCTCCCTCCGTTTCTGGAACTCATTATATTCACAGCTGAAGAACAGGAAAACCCGGGTAACAGTCTCTGATTGTCCATGGGGTTGAGTTTAACTGTGGGTCTTGAAGGCTCCATTAGTTTATCATGAGTTTTGACAGTGTTAGTCAGTAAACAACTCACATAGATCAACTGATCTATACAACAAACATTCATATAAAGAACTAGAAGAGAGGAGTTTGAAGGTTACCAACAAAATGATAAATATGATAAATGTTTAGGGACATGGAAATATCAGTTATTCTGACTTGATCATTACACACACTGTATCTTACAAATTTACGTAATTTAAATCCACATTCAGTTTGTAAATGTCAAATAAAAACAAAAATGTATATATTATGGATTGTATATTCAGCAGTATACATACTAGTTGTGTATGTATACTACTTTGGATGTGTATATATAATACATGCTTGGGTATGTATTACTATGTATGTTCTTGATACATTTTTTTTTAAAGATTTATTTATTTATTATGTATACAGCATATATGACTACAGGCCAGAAGAGGGCACCAGATCTCATTACAGATGGTTGTGAGCCACCATGTGGTTGCTGGGAATTGAATTCAGGACCTCTGGAAGAGCAGTCAGTGCTCTTAACCGCTGAGCCATCTCTCCAGCCCCGTTCTTGATACATTTTATCGTTTAAAAAATAGTATCAAACTGTCTCCCTTTTTCAGTTAGGAAGCTAAAACTTGGGGGCATGAGGGCCCTGACTAGGGGCTGGCTGGTAGTTCTACTGACTTAACCCTCTAACAATCTCCACATGCTTTCTTCGGGGTGCTTTTTGAAGGGGGGATTTCAAACATCAACTATCTTTAACTTAAGGGGTATTGTTGTTTGGTGTCTAATTGGTGTTGGAGTTCCCAGGGCTTTGCTCATGCCAGCCAAGTCCTTTCTCTTATTTTCAAATTAGGAAGTGTCTCGCCCACCATGCCACGGAATGGCATTGGCACATCACCATTTATGGGTGACCACTGACGCAGCAGCAAAGGACCTTTGTTGACAGTGGTGGCCAGACAGATGGCCGAGAGGACGGGAAGAAAGGGATGAAAGTGAAGTTGGAAGCAGTAAATCTTGACCTCAGTTTATGAAGTATTCCAGGACCCATTAATCCACCGTGTAGGCCAGTCTAGGTAGCAGGTCTCACATTGTTGAAAACGGCTGGAGTTTCAGTATTTGTTATTATTTGTTCAAGGCAATGGGACCTAGGAATAGGCTTTTTAGCGCTTCAGTTATCTTACAGCGTGGTGAGTTATTCTGCCTCTGCATTTCCCGAGGACAGTACTTACGCCTTTGGAACTAGTTTGAGTTTTCTCTGCAGTCTTTACCCGGTTCTCTTCGAATGCTATGTACTGGCTGCCCAGCGTCTAAACCTCCTGTTTTGGGTTACGTTTGCCCCTCTCCCCCACACAGGCTCTTCTGTAGCAGTTCCTACAGAGGTTGCTTGCAGAGTCGTCTGAGAAGTGACCTGTTAGTTACTGAAAGAAACTGTAGCTATCAATTAAACGCTGCTATAAAAGCGTACGTTTATTGAAAGTTCACTGAGTCCTGGTCCCTGCTTTAACTGGTGGTGTTTTCACAGTCCTCCCAAAGGAACTGCTGGGAACGTCAAAGCATAGTGTAGTCATAAAGGAAGGCGTGACCTTGGAGCCCAGTCTCTCAGATGCTCTCTCCACCATTCAGGATGATTCTGATCGTTGAGCACTGACTTTGCAGAGAGGGAAGATCTCTCCAAGGACAAGACCTTTCTAAGGGGGCATGCATGTTAGGGGAACCAAGGCATCCCCTAGGTGGGATTGGCAGACATGTCCAGGACTTGGCATGCGGTGGCTAAGATTTATTTCAGGGAAACAGACTGAAGCAAAATCAGCAAAGGGAAGCTGAACACGGGGTGGAGTCCAGAGGAAACTAGGTCAGGTCTCGGAGTGCTTTTCCAGTGAAGTCACTCGGGGCACAGTCGATTGGCCCAGCGAGGTGTGACAACATATGCAAAGTGACTTCTACCACGAAGCTCATTAGTTGCCAAAATATTTTCTGGGACTGGTCAGGTAGGCAGGCGCCTTCTGCCTGATAAGAACAAATCCCAGGCCCCCAGGAGAAAAGGAGGAGCCTCCCACAATGGTTTAGACAGCGTGAACCCCTGTTACCATTTGGGGGACGTTTAAGTCAGTGTAGAAAACTGGCTAACAGTCTCAGGTACCAGCCAAGGGCCAGGCCACAAGTGGACCTCTCTAAGGAGATGAGTCTGCCGTTCACTCCTATGAACTCTTCTGGACGTAGGGCTGGGGTTGTGAGAGGATTCGTTTGTATGCATAGTAGAGGGAGGAGCCTTCTTAGTCAAGGAGTATTCCAGAACAAAGGTGAGCAGTCTGAAGTAAGCCTGCCATGAAGAACTTGGAGTGGTGGGAAGAACGCGTGGGAAAAAGAGAAGGATAAATATCAGCGCCATGTTGAGAGTTGATTTCTGAGCATAAGAAACGCGCCCCCCCCCCCCAGTATGATGCAGTTTTTTTTTTCTTTTGGTTTCCA